TCGCCGCGCCAGTCCTCCGGGGACAGTGAGGGGACACTGAGGCCCCGGCCGCTGACAGGGTCGTGGGAGCGGCGGAGCGCCCGTGCCCACCGGAGGCCTGAAGCGCGGCCTCCGCCGCCTGCGCTCGGCGCAGCCGTGTGTCGGGCTCTGGAAACCCGAGAGGATTTGGACCGCGTCCGAACGCAGTGCACAGCAGGGAGGAACCTGGAGGTGATGCCTTTGTCCCGACCCCGGAGTGCGAGCATCGGTGTAAAGTTACTCCTCGGAATGACTCAGCCTCCACCCACCCCACTGATGAATTTGGGGTAGGGGTGTATGCGGGTTCCAAAACTTGGTAAAAATGAGAGCTTCCGAACCTAGTAGAGCGTTTGTAGTTTCTCTACAGACTGGTGGATGTGCTATGGTGACTGTTTATGATTTCGTAATTCTGTCCTTTCCGTCATGAGTCTTTAAAGTGTGATCATTCCATGAACTGGTATAGGCCTGGTGCCACGGAACACTCATGCACTCACTCACTCATTGATAAAGTCTCTGTAAGACGTTCAGTTGGGTGGGAATGTTGTCAGGTCTGTTATAAGCGTTAAAATCTACCCATTTTGCTAACCATTTTCTCTAAAAGGACATTAGGCTAATGAGACTTATTTATCTGAGGGCTTGCAAAGCTAGCAGTTTAGAGGAGCCTAAACAGACCGGGATGTGTGCTTAATCAAATGTCGTTACTGTATATCAATGGGTGATTTTTTAAAAATTATTGTCTATAAATGGGCTGCTGTTATTGTGTGTGAGAATATCTTTTATTTAGTGTTATTACAAAATATGTCATAGATCGACGTTTTCCAGGTAAATTTTTGTCATGTATTATTTAGCGTTTACAGCTGTGTTTAAAACTTTAGCTACAACCTAGGGTTAGAATCTAGCTGCTGAATTCATCTCAGCATTCCAGGAGGCTGAGACAGGAAGATAGCTTTAGGCTATTTGGGTTACATAGTTGTGTTTCAGTGGTTTTGGGAAACATAGTGAGACCAAGTCTTGAAAGAGGAAAAACAACAAAAATGGTATCTAGGTTGTTATGCCATGAGGCACATAATGTATTATTTGCATTGATTAATCTATTGGTGTAATTGGTTAGTGGACTTAAGCCACATTTTAAAAATAATTTTGTGGGGTTGGGGATTTAGCTCAGTGGTAGAGGGCCCTGGGTTCGGTCCTCAGCTCCGAAAAACAAACAAACAAAACCTTTGTTTTGAATTAAATTGTGAGGTATTAGGTATTATGGGTCTGATTCTCTGTGTTGTTACTGGCAATCAGGGAAGACAGTGAAGCAGTCCTCTTTGCCCAGAGAAAGGAGGTTTTTTTGGTTCTCTGACAAACATCAGGGTTAGAATGCACAGCAGATTGGCTTTACACATAAATCCATAAAAGCCAAAGGGCAAAAGATAGAAGAAATGACCCCCTAGCCCCCATTTTTGTTTGTTTGTTTGTTTGTTTCTGCTTTTGTTTTTGTTTCTTGCCTTGTTAATTTGTACTGCTAGGAATAAAACCCAGAGCCTCCAACATGCTCTGCAAAGTGCTACATCTCTCAACCACAAACCCTGTTCCCAGATGAACATCATAAATTTTCTTTTTAAAGGACAAGTAGATTCAGTTCTGTGTAAATAAATTAAAGGGCAAGTAGAAAGCTGGATGTGGTGGTGCACGCCTTTAATCCTAGCACACAGGAGGAAGAGGCAGGCAGATCTCTGTAAGTTCAAGGCCAGCATGGTCTACATAGTGAATTCCAGGCCAGGCAGGACTCCATAGTTAGACCCTGTCTCAAATAAAAATGAAAGGCTTTTTCAGTTAATCTCTAACCCTATCTACGTTTTTCTTTTCTTTTTTTTTTCTGAGACACCAGAGTTTCACAATGTAGCCTAGGCTGACTTGCAGCTTATTATGTAGCCTACACCATCTCTGACCTCAGAGCAGCAGTCCTGTATCAGCCTCCTAGTACTGGGATTATAGGCTCAAACCACTACACCCTGCTGCACTTTCCTTTGTTGTAATGACCTTTCCATGTCCATTATAGTTTTTATTGTATACTTGCTCCATTGAGACCATTGAACTAGCAACTAAGGAATAAAAGGAATGTAAGAATATCATTTGAGGCAGGTTCTCAGTAGCCCAGGCTGCCATGGACTCACTGTGTAACTGAGACTGGTCTTGAACTCTAGTCTTTCTGCCTCTACCTCCTAAGTGCTAGGTTACAGGTGTATGCTATCATGTCCTGCTAAGAAATAGAAGAAATTTATGGAAAGAATTGAATGTTCATAAAAATGATTGTCATTATTGGAAATTGACTTTTAATCAAGTTTAGTTTAAGGAATTCAGAATTAACATGGGAGGAGAGAAGTGATGTGGATAAGTCCCTTTGCCTTTAAGAAAACCCTAGACATCTCAGTTTTATAAGGTTTTGTTTGTTTGTTTTGGTGGGTTTTGTTTTGAGAAAGGATCTCACTCTAACCCATGCTGGCCTCGGATTCATTGTGTAGCTCAGATTGGCCTCCAGGTCTTGGTCCCCTTTGCTAGGACCGTCATACCTGATACACTTTGAAGTTGTGATAAGTTTTCAGAAGGAAAATAAGAACACAATGGAAGGTTATGTAATGTGCCTGTGTCTAAGTGTATTGGTTGGTAGGCTTGAAACTTTAGATAAGCTGTCTTTTACTGACCTGGGTAAAGACCCAAGAGAAGTTAAGAAGCAATGGCTACTTGACATGGAATGCCAGGAGTGAGGGCCAGTAGTAGAAAGGGGTACTCCATAGATATTTAAGTTTTAAAATCATAGTTTAAAAATAAAAGAAAGTGGAGCATATGGACCCTGCATGTGTAAAGGCAGAGAGTTGAGTGCCAATAGATCCAGCAAGTCTGGGGAACAGTTAGGCTCCGGTATATCTCTCAGATCAAACCGATGAAGTACACTTGTATCCAGTGAACCAGAGTAACACATTTTGTAAGTGTGTATTTATCAGACTATTTGGCATTTTAAAGAAGGCAAAAATGACAATATCAATTGCTGGAAAGAGAGGTTAGAGAAGCAGACTTTGGAATAGTTAGGTTGAACAATGACTTTCTTAGATAAAAATATAAAATTACTTAGCACATTTCTCTAGTCTTTCATTTTATGAACCTAGGAAACAATTTGCTTATAAAACTGGTCATTGTCCAGGGTCCTGAGAGCATTACTTGTCCTTTCACTCTTCTGTACAGTTAAGATCCTGGTGAGTTTGTGGAAGTGTAGTAGAACTTGAATGCTCACAAACAGCCTTTTATGAGTAGTTTCAGCTTTCTCAGGTGTTTACTGAATGCCCTGAAGATCGTAGGATTAACAGTTTTATCCCCTATGATTTTGTTCTTTTGAATTCTCTTATATTATTGGTTTTGTAATTATGAAAGTAACAGTGATCTATTTTCATATTGTTATTAATTTGAAACTGTCCACATCAGTTTTCCCTTCACTATCCATACACAAATATTGATCAGTAACTTTCCAGAATATATATCAAAGTAATAATTCAGTATTATACTGCTATTTCCATGGCCTTTGTTGACTTTGACTGCAAATGTCATTTGAGCATGCTTTTTTGATTCTGCCCTATGTTTATAGTCTTGGTAATGGAGTAAAGCTAATTCCGTATTAAATAGGTTTTAAATAGTTTGGGTTTTATTTTATATTTAGTATACACTGTAAAGTAAAATAATGCAACTAGAAAACTTTCTCTGAAGTCATGGATTTTATATAGTTTGATGAATTAGATAGGACACTAGAATGAGTAGTAAGTTAATGTCCTGATGTGGTATGATTTCTGTATTAATGCAGTCCAGGCAAGGTACACACTAATATGTATGGCATGATGGTAGAAAGAAAGATCATTAGTTGATCTATGATCTTCACATGTACTGTGGCACATGCACATCACAAAATACAAAAATGTAGTTTTTAAGAATTTGGGGGTTGGAAATGTATCAGCAGTTAAGAGTACTTGCTCCTCCAGAAGACCTCAATTCAGTCCCTGCACCCACATTCCCTGTAGCTCACAGCCACCTCTAACTTCCAGCTTTAGGGTAATTACAGCACCATCTTTTGATCTCTTTAAGAACCTGAACTCATGTTCATATACATAATGTGTGTGTGTGTGTGTGTGTGTGTGTGTGTGTGTGTGTGTGTGTGTGTCTAGAGAGAGAGAGAGACAGAGAGAGAAGGAGAAGGAAGGAGATAGGCATTTTTAACTATGTAGTCCTGGCTGGCCCAGAACTCCTCATTTTCATAAAACCAAATTAATTTGTATATATACATGTGCCTTCTGTATGCTCAAGAAATAAATCTGAATGATATACTCCTGAATTCCATTTCTGGTTTAAAAGTATTTCTGTTCTGGTTTTGGTCAAGAGCTTTTCAGATGTTAACTCCATTTGACATTTATCTGAGCATGCCTGTGTCAGAAAAGGCACACACTTAGCACTATGAACCTTTATGAAAAAGGTTTTCTTTTGTAGAATGTGAAGAAGATGCCTGTCCTACTCTTTTCCTCTTGGCAGACAGAGTGTTATATGGGGATGCATCCAATTTGCAGAGAGAGGCTAACTAACACTCAGTTCTTGGTCTGGGTCAGATATATGTTCTTTGTGGTGG